AGGAACAGTCGTATCTTGGAGATGTTGCAGAGGTGAAGTCTACAAGATTTAGACAGCGATTGGATTTGGGGCTGAAAGGACAGATGGGAGTCTAGGATTACACCTAGTACCCTGACATGAGGGGAGGGACTGATGATTGTGTTATTGATCTTGAGGGAGAAGTCAGGGGAGGGGGCATGGGCTGGAGGGAATACTAAGAGCTCAGTTTTGGAAAGATTGAATTTGAGGAAGTGGAGTGACATCCATGCTGATATGTCGCTTAGTAGGTTAGTAGTGCGAGAGGAGACTGAAGGGGTGAGGTGAGGGGTAGAAAGATAGATTTGTGTGTCATCAGCATGGAGATGGTACTTTAAGCTATGGGAGTTTATCAAGTGACCAAGGGAGGAGGTGTAGATGGAGAAGAGTAGGGGTCCAAGGACGGAACCCTGAGGGACCCCTACAGAAAGATTAAGTGGGGAGGAGGAGGCAGAGTTATAGGTAATGCTGAAGGAGCGCCGCGATAGGTAGGAGGAGAACCCGGAGAGAGCAGAGTGGAGTTTTCTGAGGAGGGGATGATCAACAGTATCAAAAGCTGCAGAGGGCTCAAGTAGTAACAGTATGGAGTAGTGGCCATTGGTTTAGCAGTTAGTAGATCATTAGTGAGTTTTAGTAGGGCAGTTTCAGTGGAGTGTAGTGAGCGAAAGCCATACTGTAAAGGGTCAAGAAGGTTGTTGTCAGTGAGGTAAGAGCTCAGGCGATTGTAGACTAAACATTCTAGGAGTTTAGTGGTAAATGGCAGCAGGGAGATGGGTCTTAAGTTGTTCATGTTGGTGAGATCCAGGGAGGGCTTTTTAAGTATGGGAGTGATGTGTGCATGCTTTAGAGGGGAGGGGAAGGCACCGTTTGAGAGGGAGAGATTAAAGATGTGAGTGAGGGAGCATAGGATGGAAGGAGAGGGTGACCGTAGTAGTTGAGAGGGGACAGGATCCAGGGGACAGGTAGTGAGACGGGCTTCTGAGAAAACCTTAGTGACCTCTTCGGTAGTAGAAAGGTCAAAAGAGGAAAGTGTTGAGGGAGGTTTAGTATAAGGTATGCTAAGTGGGATGGATGTCTGTGCAGTGGCGATGACCCTACGAATTGCGTCAGTCTTGTTTTTGAAATGATTTGCAATCTCATGAGCAGTGAGTGAGGTGCTGGGTGGAGGTGGAGGTGGAGAAAGTAGAGAGTTGAAAGTAGAGAAGAGACGACGAGGACTGGATGATAAGCTATTGATGAGAGTGACAAAGTAGGCTTGTTTGGCAGCATGGAGGGAGGCATTGTATGTTAAGAAAGCAGATTTATATAGGATGAATGTTTGGTGAGATTTGGTTTTACGCCTCAATCGCTCCAGCACACGACTATGTCGCTTAAGATTTCTGGTGTTGTCAGTCTGACACGGTTGTAATGGTCGGGGCCTGATGCTTCATGTGGTTAGAGGAGCAAGTGAGTCTAATGTGGATGAAAGTGAACTGTTATAGACAGCAGTGGCCAGGTCAGGGCAGGACAGGGGAGAGATTCTGTCACAGAGTTGGTCAGTTGCAGAGTGGAAACGAGCAGGGTTCAAGTTGTGAAGGTTTCTGCGGGTAATTGTTTGCTGCTTGGAGGGATAAGTGTTTGAAGACGAGGACACTGTGAAGGTGATGAGATTGTGATCAGAGAGAGGAAAGGGGGTGTTTGTGAGGTTGTAGGGAGTGCAAAGACGGGAGAAAACAAGGTCTAATGTATTTCCATCAGAGTGAGTGGGGGGACTGTATACATTGTGTTAATGCAAAAGATGAGGTTATGTTGAAGAGTTGGGATGTAGCCGGGTTTGTTGACATTGATGGGGATGTTAAAATCCCAGAGAATGATAGTGGGTAGTTCAGAGGAGAGAAAGTAGGGTAGCCAGGTAAAGAAATCATCAAGAAAGCGGGGACACCGGTCCAGGAGGCCGATAGATCACTGCAATCCTCAGAGAAATGGGTTAAAACAGGTGAATGCAGTGAGTCTCAAAAGAAGAGAAGGATAGAGAGGGAGCTTTAGGGAGGACTTGAAAGGTGCTCAGTGGGGATAGAAGCAAACCAACCCCTCCTCCTTTCCAACCACTGGGTCTGGGTGAGTGGGTCCAGAGAAGGCCTCCATAGGAAAGTGCTGCGGGTGAAGCAGAATCTGATGCTTGAAGCCAGGTTTCTGTAATTGCTAGTAGGTTAAGGGAGCGGGAGACAAAAAGGTCATGAACAGAGGTAGCTTATTACAGACAGAGCGGGCATTCCAGAGCGCACATGAAAAAGGGAGGGTGGTTTTTTTGAGCACGGGGACTGATATTAAATTGAGGGGATTGCGGCTATTCCTGGAAGAAAGAGGATGCCTGGTGTGGGGGTGAAATAGTGGCGGACCAGGGTTTGGGGAGATATCCCCAGAGGTTAGGAGAAGAAGAAGGGTAAGGAAAGTAACATGGGAGCGGGATGTACACGAGTGTACATGCCTTCCAGTCCTGGTGTTTGGGTCAGCAGGAGAGTGAAGTATCAGCAGGAGGTGATGGGAGCAGTAGTAGGGAGATGGTAGCAGTGAGGGTGAGATGTATAAATTTTGGGGTGGAGCAGAGGGGTAAAGAACTGAGATTTTGGGAACGCAGGATAGTAATATGAAAAGGAGGAGTAAAGGGGACATATTACAAAGGTACACGGAGTAGGACTCAGACTTATAGGAGATGTTTCCCAGGGTGTTTGCTTGCAGTCCATCCAGAGCGCAGTAGAGTTTCTTGTTGTTGTATCTTCCTGCTGCTTGAGTTATCCTGCTTTAGTTAAACTGCTGTGTTCAACTGCTGCTCCTTGTAGTGGGACTTGTAGTTTAGCAACATCTGGAGGGCCGCCAGCTTGACACCCCTGATATACACTGTTAGAAATGTATCTGTTCAAGAGAAATTTTCCATCCTGATCCTTCAAATTATTCCATGACTGCAGTTTAAAACAAATATCAATTTGACCCCACTATTGATTAGAAAATCGAATGAATGTTCTTAAAACAAAAACATTTCAAGTGAAATTCTACTAGTGTATGGCCAGCTTTAGTTTGTTTTCAGCTTTTGGTAATTTAAACTACTATATAATAATGAATTAATTTAACTTGCCAAAGCTATACAGCTTTACAGTTTGGGAAATGTAAATCTGTAAATCAGGTCAGTATGATTAGTCTCTGGCAGGGCTAGAAAGTTGTAGATAAAGTAGGATCTACAAATTCTACAAACTTGTGGAAGGCAGGAAATCAAGGCTAAAGGGACTGTTAAGGGAAGAGGTTTGGCCAGTATGAGACCAGAGAGGGAAGGAAGCGTTGGGCAGCTGTGCAATGTGTTGAGAGAGGAGTGGCAGTTACTAATGGACTGTGCTAATTTTGGCTGAACTCTTCGGTGAAATCCTTACTTATTACAGTATATTGTTGGTAATGAGCTACTTGTTACCTGAAAGCCTTGGTTACAAATTTGAAGTAGTGGACAGTATAGCTCCACCCATTATGAGAACTCGGAGTCTTCAAATGCATTGTTGGAATCTACCATTGTGGTGCTCTTGTGTGCCTATTTCCCAAATTTTGATGGCTGCAGCCTGTTACTATAGGATTGGTCTGAGACTGGAAAGCATGGTATACTTGTATTATGTGCTCCAGGAAATTCAGGTAAAGTTGGCCCTTAATACACTAGAGGGTTGAGAAGGAGTTGCCTTTTGGATCGTGTTGCTCTGATCTTCAGCGGATAGAGTGACCCTTAGTGACATTAAAAGTATATAGTGGACTTATATGACGACACCTCTGCTTGGGTATACACTTTTTTGTCAAATACAAGGTGGAAGGGGAAACCCACACACAATTTGTAAATGTCTTGCAGGAGAATATGGTAGTGCTGGTGAAGAAAGGTGCTGATTAGCTGTGAGTGCTGGGTGACATTAATGGTGCTGGTGTCGCTGGGAAAGGAAAAGAAAGACAACAATAAAAACCTGACGCATATACTAACCCCTCTCTACTCTCAAATAATGTGCTTTTGTTACTGTCCTTGTCCTACCAGAGAAATAATTCATCACCTGGGTCTTGCACCTGATCTCCTCTACCCTTATCTGGAAAAGGGGGTGTAAGAGTACTCACACTGTCCTCTCATGTTAACTTAGTGGGTTGGCAGCTGCCTTCAGGTCTTATGCTGGGCTGGCTCCTTCCCTGCTACATAGACTGTTATCTCCAGGAGATTTTGAGGCAATGGAGATCCTCTTCTGCAGCATGCTGTCTGTAGGTAGGCTCCCTTCCCTGGGGCTCCCTCACAGGTTCCACACACTGGCCTTCCTCAATCCATCTTCCACCCGATACTGTCTTCTCTCACCAGGCTTGCCCTGGTCACCATGCCAGGGAATTGGCCAGGGTCCCTCAAACATGCAGATCTGAATTTCCTCCCCTCCTCCTTCCCTGTCCCAGAAAGTTCTCAAGTCTCTGGAAAGGTGGGTGGGCTCCAGAGGCCCTAACCTATAGAACCACACAGCCTGTCCTGAGATTAACTCCTGCCTCCTTCCCAGACTGTTACTCATCCTCTATCTAAAAAAAACGAAAACTCTAGCAAACCTGGAGGGCATTACAGAAGCAAGAGTAGATCTCCCTAACCGAGATACAGACCACAATAAAAACTCAAAGGTATCACCCTTCACCCTTGTGCTCAAATCCAAAAAAGTTTGGTTGTAGTATTGTGGTACATTTGCACAAGAGAACATTGATGGTGCCTGATGTGCTACCTTAACTAGTTGCCGACCGCAGATAGCCGAATGACGGCTGCACTGCGGCCGGCCAGTTCTGAGTGGACGTCATAGGACGTCCCACCAGAACGCGCTCTCCTGCGCGCCCCAGGGTGCGCGCACCCGGCGATCTCCGTGATCGCTGTGTCCGCTGATCACGTGATGTGGTAAAAGGCCAATCACAGCGGCCTTTTACCACCTGATCAGCGGTGTCCAATGACACGCTGATCAGAGGGAAATGCAAGTGCCGGTTCTCGGCTGCACTTTCCTCACGCTGTCAGATCGTGAGGAAAGTACTGCCGAGAACCGGCAGTTGTCAGAGCGAGGATCGGCACCGATCATCAGGGCACTGATGATCAGTGCCCTGATGATCGGTGCCCAGCAGTGCCACCCGCAAGTTCCGCCCACCTGTGCCCAGCAGTGCGCCCATTAACTCCGCCCACCTGTGCCCAGCAGATCACCCACCTGTGCCCAGCAGTGCACCCACCTGTGCCACTCTCTGCAGTGTCACACACCTGTGCCCAGAAGTGCCACCTACCTGTGCCCAGCAGTGCCACCCACCTGTGCCCACCCACCTGTGCCCACCAGTGCCACCCACCTGTGCCCACCCACCAGTGCTGCCCACCAGTGCCACCCACCAGTGCAGCCCAGCAGTGCTGCCAGTCAGTGCCACCAGTCAGTGCCCAGCGGTTGTGCCAGTCAGTGCCGCCAGTCAATGCCCAGCAGTGATGCCAGTCAGTGCCGTCTATCAGTACCCATCATCAGTGTCACCTATCAGTGCCGCCTATCAGTGCTGCATATTAGTGCCGCCTATCCGTGACACCTCATTAGTGCTGTCTATCAGTGCCGCCTATCCGTGACACCTCATTAGTGCTGTCTATCAGTGCCCTTTAGTGCTGCCTATCAGTGCCCATCAGTGCCGCCTATCAGTGCCCATCAGTGCTGCCTCATCAACGCACATCAGTGAAGGAGAAAAATTACCTGTTTGAAAAATTTTATAATAGAAACAAAGAAACTTTTTTTTTTTTTTCAAATTTTTTGCACCTTTTTTATGTATAGCGCAAAAAGTAAAGCGCCCAGTGGCGATTAAATACCACCAAAAGAAAGCTCTATTTGTGAGAAAAAAATGATCAAAATTTCATATGGGTACAATGTTGCATGACCGCGCAATTGTCAATCAAAGTGCGGCAGCGCTGAAAGCTGAAAATTGGCCTGGTAAATAAGGGGGTATAAGTGCCTGGTAGGCAAGTGGTTAAGGACAATTTAGGGTGCACCAGAAAGCCCCTCATCCACCAGAGGGAGAGGATGTCCGTTGAAGACTGTCTAAGACTGGTCCACAGTCTGCTCAGAGCCTATAGCCTTATGGACTTTCAGGAGGAAGAGGATGTCTGAGAAGACTTTCCTTTCCCCCACTCTCCCTTCTGTGCCTTTGTCCTTCAATAAAGCTTTGGGTCTGTAAACTCTTCCCCTCCCTTAACCCTCCTTCCTACCACCAATAACACCCATTGCTACTGACGTGTTTTTTAACTGTTTGCTTTTTGTTAGAGAGTCATGTAGGACATATGGGGCAGAGATCTTACTCAAGCACTGAATGTCTGACAGGCTAGGTATTCCAGTGGTACCATAAGGGTCACATAATGTTTAGGGGTAAAGCAACATCACACATGACATGATGGTTCAGGGAAATTTGCTCTGCACAGCACGTTAGGCATCATACTGCTAAGTGAATGTAATTTATTGTGTGATTGAATCTGTATTGTTATGTGATGAAATCAAGTGCAATGTTGTATAATAGGGTGGAATGTACCTCAATTAAGTATTTGATTTTTATATATTTTATATATAAATCAAGTATATTTTTTCAACCAAAAAAAATTAAGGCCATACTTTCTTTCAGAATTGTTGATGTTGTGTGTTTTTTTTTTAATTCTGTAATAAATGCAGCAACTTAGTCATCCAAATTGCTGTAGTATTACTGCAGAAAAAGTGATGTTTCCCCTAGGCTCCTGATTTTGTATGAATTCAACCTGCTTGCGTCCACCCAAAGCTGATACTTGTTTGAATCATACCTTATTATGATTTCCCTAAAAAATGTAAGAGGCCAGTGGTGGCTTTGGCTATACCAGAAATATCAACATTGGATGGACTTAGAGTAGTGGACTTTAGTTTGTAGTATGACTAGCTGAAAAGGCAAGGCCTGCTTTTATTATTGCAGTCTTATACTGTTTTTCAAACTCTTTATTTCTGTTCTCATACAGAAACTTTCTGGATCACTGGTCCATATAACAGTGCTGAGAAACAGAGAGTACTCATCTTTATGGATATGTACAGTATATGGATGATCTAAAAACACGGCTGGTGTTATATCCACCTCATCTGTTATAGATGAATAGTCCTTCGCTCTCGCTGAGTGTCTATAGGAACCTCTGCTTGTTTATTTCTTCTTACTGTCTGCATAATACAGCTGCACATGTCAGTGCTATGGAAATAATGGATGATGATAATAATAATTACAATAAAATGATTTATTTCACTATGTCTAGATATTCCTTTATGTTGTTTAAGGTTGTTTTTTTGTTGCTTTTTTTTTTACTTGGTGCATTCAATGTTTTCTTGAAACTGCTGATGGTTCAAAGAAAAGGGAGCCAATCCAGGATTGCGATGTTTAAGTTATCGCTCACCCCAAATTATTTTCTTGTCTTTTTTTTTTTGTTTGTTTGTTTTTGTTTTTTGATAGTGGTGCCTGAGTAGCTACAGCCTAGAATTTCATGTATTATTGCTGTTCTGTTACCTGACCTACTGACATATTTACCTTGAAGCATTGCTAAACCCAAAAGCAAAAATGCAATATATTGCAGCTTGCCAATCCTTAAATGTGATGGCTGCATTGGTTTTCTTTTTTGTAGGCTTTTTCCTGGAGGAACAACAGAGACACCTTTGGACAAAAGCATTGTCAGTATGGGGAGAGGGCTGTGTTAGATGCAGTAACAAATAAGGATGGAATTGACTAACACATTTAAGCTGAACTCCAGCTAACACCTTTTTAGCAGTTACAGCAACAGGTTTTTGTTCTATAAAGTGATAAAAAGTGATGTAGCGCTGCTATCTAAAAACAACACATCAAAATATATGCAATGTAAAATAAAGCAAATCTTTCTTAATAAATTAAGGTACATATTCCCGTAAACAAATTAAGTGCTGAAATAAATAAGTCCATAGTAATAATGTGCAAATCAATAAATTGTTTGAATCAATCAGTCCATACTATATATCATATCTGTGACCAACACCAATAGTTCTAAAATGTGCCCATGCTTAAAGCGAAGATCCACCTGAAATAGAAAAATAAAAGTCAGCAGCTACAAAAACTGTAGCTGCTGACTTTTAAAATACAGCCACTTACCTGTCCCTCGGTCCAGCGGTGTCCATGGCTGGTTTCACCGGTGTAGGCACCTGGCTGTGACAGCTTGCGGCTTTACAACCTGGTGCCCACTGCACATGCTCAAGTATTGCTGCGCTTTTTGAATGGCCCGTAGTCTTCTGGGACCTGTCACATGTCCCGGAAGACTACGGGGAGGGAGGGGGGAGGACAACTTCTGCTTCTGATCGCCTAGGCGATCTGTCAAATTGGCCAAAGGTGCCAATCCTTAATGGGGAGCAGGGAACAAATGCTTAAACCAGAACCTTCCCTTTTGGGTGGAGCTCCGCTTTAAGATCCACTTTGTGCAATCGTAGGCTACCTTAGTGTTCCCAGAACTCTCACCTCCAATTTTTCATTAATAATAAAGTGTATGCATAATATCTCCGTCTTTCTCCTTCACTCCTTAAAGACACTCCATTTCCCTCTTCTCCTTTTCAATCAATGCCTGGATGTATTAGAATCACCCCTTCTACCTTAGATAAAATGCATCATCTCATTCATGCATAAAAAGAACGCCTCATATGGTGCATTAAACTTTTAAAATTATTCACATTTATTTAAAATATTGCACTCACATAAATCCAGAATAAAAATGCGCTTTCACAATCCAAGATCGTATAAACACTTCTGTTTGCGTCACTTCCTATTCCCTCTGCCTCCAGTTACGGCTGACGCGTTGCATCAACGTCATGTGACTTCCTCAGGAGACATTTTATCAGTAGTAGATTTTTGTTCTACTTTTGGGATAAAGGGTTTACATAAGTGAATTAAAGCTGATCATTGAAAACACCCTGTCAGCGTTAAATGGTTTGTCTCAAACCTACTGCAATTTTGTCTGGACAGCTTGGTCTGTTAAAGGGAGTTAAAAAAAATAACAGACTTACTGGCCAGGTCATCAATTGAAAATAAGGGGAAAACAATGAAAAAGGAAAACTAATGCAAACATCACATCTAAGAATTGGTATGCTGCAATATATAATATTATTTTTTTTGGTTTTGGGGTTTAATACCACTTTACGAAAAATGTACCAAGCATGATATAGTCTTGTATTAATACATGAATGGTTCCTACATCTCTGAAATGAACTAACTTTAGCTTCACCCCAAAAGACACAGGCACACTCTTTAGGGGAGATTTACTAAAACTTGATCACTCAGTGTCTGTATTGTGCATGGTATCCAATCTGTGTCTAACTTCAACTTGTTCAGTTAAGCTTTGAAAATAAAACCTGGAAGCTAATTGGTTTCAATGCAAAGCTACACTACATTTTGCTCACTCCAGTTTTAGTAAATCTCCCCTTTTGCATCTGAAGGAAAAGAAGCAAAGAGGGAACAATAGAGGACACTTGATGTAGCAGAACACCCCTTTCCCAAACAGATAGTAGATGTAAGGTGGAGAAACTATGTGACTCCCTCTGAGACATCTTTGTATTGGGAAAATCTTCAATGGCTGCACCCATAAGTGTTCCAACTTATTTTAAAACCAAATGTTGATACCAGGGGCAGATTGACCATTTGGAAACTCGGGCACTGCCCGAAGGCCCGGGGTCAGTAGGGGGCACCATGAGATGCCCCTGGTACCTTTTTCATAGGCTTTTTTGAGTTTGGGCAAAGACACAGGGGCCCCATGATCCCCTATTTCCCGGGTGCCCCATGAGTTGTCAGTCCGCCCCTGGTTGATACTATGCTTTTACAATATCCTTTTCTCAACTTCCTGTTGGGAAGTAGACCTGTGGTCTAGGAAACACGTGGAGGATTTTTCGTCTCCCTTTCTCAGTGACTTTGAATATAATTAGGAGACCATGCGAATAGTATCAAGAAAATATAGAAATAAAACACTGAATGTTCAGGGATATATGTTCATTATGTACCTGTCAAAATGTGTTGTACTGCACATATGTATCATTTTTTTTATTCTTGGAAAGATCTTGAGGAATCACATTTTAGGAAATGCATTTTAACTTATGTTGAAAATTAAATCTCTTTTTTAAAATCATAGTTTGATTTATTCTACCTTTTTCTCCCGCTTCTGTTATGAATTTGTTCTTTGTCCAAATGTCTATATACATGGATCTATAGCATACAGTGTCATACCTTAAAAAAAAATTAAAGGTAATAAACAAAAGCAACCATTTAAAACAAATTTCCATTTTTTCTGCAGTTTTCACAGTGACATCACAACCTCAGACAGCTCCGATGATGAGCATCTACTACAGAGGTCACTCAGACGCAGCACAGTTCACATGTCAGTTCTGAAATTGAAACAACCTAAAACTAATGAGCAAGACATTTCAGAGAATGAATCCACACACCAGCATAGAATACAGACAC